CTGCCACTGGCGGGCCAGGAGCTGGGAGCAAAAACAATGAGAAAAAGTGACATTTGGGGGCATTTCCAGGCATCCCCAGCTCCGTTTTAGGGCTGGATGGATTTATTTTAGGGTTGCGAGGTGGGATGCGGTCCAGTGGCTGCATCCTGGCCAGGACCACCCAAAGGAGCTCAGATGGGTCCTACTTAAACCAGGACTGAAACTAAGCCTCGCTGGCACTAAAGGAATTTCCTAAAGAGCTTAAAGCTTAGAACAGAGGAGGAGAGAGTTAAATAACGCCGGAGCTGGCTGCAGCTCTGGACCGGTGGCTTTGGGATGCTGTTTCCCATTATATCCCACGCTGGTTTGAATTATCCTCCGCAGCAGAGACGGAAAACAAATATCCTGCTTTCAGATTAGCCTGGGTATAAAGCACATCCGATCGCTGTCGTTTCAAAGCCACCTCAAGTTCCTGTTGCTGTGAATTTATGGCAGGCTGGGGTAATTAAACCCACGTCTGCCGAATGCTTCCGGGTCTTCGGGGAGGTGAAGCAAGGGAAGATGGAGCGGGGTCGGCTCAGACAGGGATGTTTCCCAATGTCCCTGTCTCCGGTGGTGGGGAGAGAAGCATCAGAGGAGGATTGGAGGTGTTGGAGGTGGTAGCAGCATCCTTGTGGAGCCAGGAGCCGGGATTTGGGCTTCGTGGTGCGAACTGCTGCTGTATTGCATCGCTGCTGAAACCCATGCCTCGGTACAGAAGACCCCAACAGCTCCATCCCTAGGGATTGCTTTATCCCAGGACTGACCTGACTACAGACTAATCCCACAAAAATAACCCTTTTTGGGGCTTTAACCCCAAAAAGCTAAGCTTAAACATACCTTCGCACACCCCTGCTGCCAGTGCCCACCATCGCACCCAGCCTCAGCAGTGGTGGCTATGCCCTGGCTGTGTAGCAGTGGGGACAGCATCAGCACAGGGCAGTGTATCCCTTTGCCCTGCTGGCAGTGCATCCCTGGATCCAGGGCTAGCTCCGGGGTGTCCTGGCTTGCATTAAGCCTTGGAGCACTCACAGCTGCCAGCCACATTGCAGCCGCCTCATCCTCCCTTAGCCCCACGCTGCTGCTGCCTGCACGGGCCCTGTCCCCATCCATGAGGTGTCCCCAACCGTGCTGCACCCCTTGGAGCAGCACCTTTCCTCCAGCCCCCCTCATTGGGCAAGAATCCATTGGGAAAGGGGCTGCCCAGTGCCTGCCCTGCCATAGGGTTTTGCTCCAAAGCCTCCTGGCACTGTGGGAGCACCATTTCCTTTAACACTTCCCAACTGATGCCGTTGAACCATCCCATTTTCCAGCCCCAAAAGGAGGCTTTTCCATCCCTTGCCTGCACACAGCCCTTTCCGGAGCCTCACATCCCGATGGACAGCAAAGCCCCCACGCTGTGCCGGGCAGGGGGAAGCGAAGGGCTCTTGGCTGCTGCAGCCCATTGTGCTGCTTCCATGAATGAGGCGCTTTATCGGATGCAACCAGCTCGGTGCCGCTGGGAGCCGGCGTCAGGCACCGGCAGCTTCCCTGCAGGAGCCACGGCACCGTTAATGGGACCACACTTCCCTGCTGTGTGCCAGGATTCAGCCCCCCAAAACACGGAGCATGGGAAATACCTGCCACAGAACCCTGCTTCCCAGTTTTCCCTTGGGGATAAAGCACCTCCAGGGTCAGGATTCCGCCTGGGGAGCTGTTATCCTCAAGGGAGACGGATGGGATGCGAGAGCATCCATCCGGCTGATCCAGCACATGTGTGGGGTGAGGATGCTTTACCCACACCAGCGTTTTGCTGCCTGTTCCAGGGCTGCTCCCCAAATCCCACCGGGATCACCCCAGCTCTGTCCCATCATCAAACTCACCGCTCCAGGCTGCTGTGGTGTTCTCCAGTGCGTGGCACGCAGCGAGCAGCACACCTAAGGAGAGGACAGAGAGACAGGGGTGAGCTGGACCATGTCCACGTGCTGACGGCTTCCAGGGGGTTCTACCCAAAATCACCCCAGGATTTATGGCTTTTGTTAAAAAGAGAATGCAATGGGGCTTGGGAGGGCACTTTATAGCCAGAACGGAGCCTGAAAACAGCCCGTACATGTGCTCTCTCATCTAACAGCTCCATGCAGCACAGCCTGCATTGCCTGCCCAGCTCCTCCTGCCCGTGTCCACACAGTGGGACCGGATCCAGCCTTGATGCAACTGCTCCATCAGCCCCCTAAACGCTGCCTGAGCTGCAAGTGCTGCTGCTGTGCAGGCAGAAAAGCCCTTTGCAGGCAGAAATGCCCATACACTCCAACCACGAGGGGCTGCAGATCCAGGCAGGCTCAGAACAAACCCCCCGCGCCATCCCTTTGTGGGGGCACAGCGTGGATTAGGGACCCCCCAGGCTAAGAGGCTTTCCCAGGGTGGGTGAAGCCAGATGAGGCCACCAGCCCCTTCGCTGATTTTGACCCACTTTCCACCATGGGTTTAATCAAATCATGCAGAAAGGCGACGGGCGAGAGACCAACACATGAACCAGCCCTTGGGATTCGCATCCAGCAAAGCCCAGCAGCTCCAGTTATCACAGCAGCATCTCCCTGTCATTCCCAGTGCTCCTTTCCCCATGCTGCCGCAGCCCTTGGGCATTTTCCTCCCATGGGAATTTAACCACAAATATCTCGTTTCTTCCCAGTTTTTCTTCCTTTTTGCAGCTTGTGGCTGGAAGATGCTTCGTCCTCCTGCCCCGCTCCCACTCATGCCGATATTGCACCTCCACACGCCAAGGAAACAACGCGTTACTTGGGAAATGGCTCATCCCTGTGTCACTGGGCGGCTCTATCATCCCCTCCAGCATTCCCACTTGTCCGTCTTCCTGCTGGGACCCTGCTCAGCTCCAGCGATGCTTCTTCCCAACCTCCCTCCACTGGCAGGTATCACACCAGCACTATTCCATCATCAAGGGCTCCAAAGAGGGGACACTGGGCACCTTATGGAGACACGGAGCATCCACACCCTTGGGTTGACCAAACTGAGACCCCCAGAAGCAGGGCTGTGTCCATCAGCTTGTTTATCATCAACCCTATCCCAGCCCCACTCTCAGGTTTCTCTCTTCACAAATCTTAAAGATCAAATCCTGCACTGCTCTGGTTTTGCTGATGGGCAAACACGACTCCATCCCCAGCACAACATTAACCACCAGCCTCTCCTTCTTCTCCACCACCAGCCACCAGTGAAGGGCTCAGTGTCACCCCCATTCTTCATGTTATTGCTGGGCTTTGTTCCCTGCTCCAAGTTTTCCCTCCTCATCCACTGGGCTCTGGTTTTCCCTTTGGCTTCACAGATCAGCCTTTGGCAGTCGTCAGGTGAACGCTGTGCTCAGGAGGTTCCCCTTTTCCCTGGTGCTTTAAGTGGATGCTCCGATCTTCTGGTTTGATGTGGTTTATAAAGGGCTCCTCTCCCTGTGCAGCATCTGGGGTGGCTTGGACCCATCCCAGGCTGGAGGCCGGGAGCAGCCATCTGGATGGGTGATTGAGGTGGGAAACCCACAGCTCAGCCCCCAAAATGGGTGACCACGGGGTCTGGAGAGGTCCCAAGCCACATGAGCAGGGAGTAGAGGGGACACGGGTATCCCCAGACGGAGCTGGTGGGACCCTCTGGAGGCGGGATGGGGCTGACGGAGTAACCGGCCCCTGCGGCGGGGGATGCTCGGGATGGAGACATCCTGGAGGAGGCACCTCGGTGCCAGAGCCCAAGAGGCAGCACTGAGAGGAGAAGGGCTGGA